CTCCCACCAGTATGCTAAAAGCTCTTGCCATTTCCTCTTTTTATCATAGCTTTAGCAGGAGAGCTCCCATTAGCTTTATATATCATCCCTGGGGAAATAGTGCTGATAGATGTGTGAGATCAGGCAGGTGGATTTTCTTTTCATCACGTATGCTGGAAAAGCCTTCCACTGCTAAAAGCAAGAGAAGACTGAGCCAGCTCAGAGGAGACTGATAATGATTCACCCGGAGGGTCACGGCTGGATTTCAGGCCCCTTGGTCTCCGCTAGTGCCTGGATGCTGCCCAGCCCAGTGGGTAGAGCAGGATCTGGCCCAGAACAGCACTGACTTAGAAGGACTTTCCTTTGGGCTGGACTCCCCACTTCCCCTTATACAGACACTGGTCCTCTCCCAGCGCAGCATTTCACCCCAGCAAATTCCCAGAACAACCACAGGCTGAAGCAGCTTTTCTATAACAGAGGAGAGATGGCTTCCCTGGCTGTGCCTGCCCTTTCTCACTCCGGTGTGTTTGTGCTCCCCCCGAGCACACCAAGCAGGCGCTCACACACACACACCCGCATCAGGGATATGAAGGAGCCCTGGGCACGGGATCCACAGCAGCGAGTGCTGAGGTTTTATAACCCCGAAAATCTGGGCTCTGAAGGGCTCTATCTGGCGGGGTGGGAGGCATGACGCCCTGCCCAGAGCCACTTTTATGCCATTGTGCCTTTTCAGCATTGCATTAAGGCAGCCAAAGACGGGGGATTTTTAATGGTTCCAGGGGAACAAAGCGGAAACATTCGGCCCAACTTCATTACAGAATCATCTGAAACGCTTGAGGAACGTTTCCCACTAATTATCATAAATAGCCGAAAAAAATCTTTCCCTCCCAAAGCAGGTTCCAGCTGCCCCTCTGTGTTTTCTCACCTCCACTTCCAATAGCCTGACCCTGCCCCCGCACAAAGGGGAGACCCCATCTCCGCTCCCCCCCCACTCAGAGACTCTAAAGAAATACAAACAGGCAGCAGATTAACAGCACTTGTTTGCACCTTAAACAAACAGAGACTTCCGCCCCTCTGGGCTCTCCCACTGCTCGAGGGTGGATGCACTGGCTTGTTTTTCTTGCCCTCGCTCTCATGCTCTGCCCCAAACCCTGGATAAAAGCCTGGGCAGCCCAAGGCATGAGGCAGGCGGGATGGGAGTGCCAGCGGTGCCAGCCCCCCCCCCCATTTGAGCCCTGTCCCCCATGCTGGGTGTCCTCTCGCTGCCCCATATGCCCCGGGGGAGGTCGGGCCCCCGCTGCAGGAGGGTTGTGAGATGCCAAGGCCAAAGCAGATGAATGAATGTCCCAGTTCAGCTCCTGCCCCCTGCGTCTCACGGGGCTCCTTGGCAAGGGGCAGCTTGATGTGGCTGGATGGGTACTGTGAGTGGGTGTGGGGAGGGCTGCTGCAGATGAAGGATGGAGAGGGAGAGACAAACCATCCAGAAGACACATAGAGGAGTGGTGCTGGTGTTCAAAACCAACACCAGCATCGAGGGGGCACAGCAGCACTGAGCAATGACTGCCAGCCCAGGGCCATCTCTGCTGAGCGCAATAGGGGGTGAATGAGTGCTGCACTTGCCTGCCCAGCTAGTCCTTAGGCTGATGCCAGCAGCTGCAGCTGCCCCTGCCAGGGAGCTACCCTGGCTCAGGTCCTCAACCTGCAGGTCCCAGGTCACCCATCCCACCTCTTCCACCAGCATCACCAGCACCTCCCTGCTCCTACAGGACCAGGTGCCAAACCAGCCCCTTCTTGCCCTGCCCAGAGCACACGGAGCAGCCAGCCCCGAGTCCTTCCATGCCACTGAAACCACACCAGCAGCCATTGAGACACTGCTCCCAGCACAGCTCTGCACGTGTTCGGGACAGGCACACGAGGCAGGCACCCCGTGAGGAAGTCATGGCAGCGTGGCCACAAGTTGGGACAGGTTCCCATCATAAGCCAGCAGTGAAACTTGCCTGCCAAAAGCCCAGGCTTGCTGCTCGCCCAGGTTATTGTGCAAATCCCCTCATGCAGGTGTTCATTGCCCCACTTCCCACCAGCCACAATAAAGGGTTCTTTCTCACAAGCCCCTTTCCTGCCCATGGGGTCCCCCAGGGGCAGGAAGGGGAACAGAGGCAGGTGGAAGGAACACACCCGAAAGTGTGGGGGGCTCCCAGCAGGGCTGACAGGCAGAGGGGTTATAGGTCAGCAGTGCAGCATGAGTGACAGAGCTGTGGGAACCACTTCTCACCTGCACAGGGCAGGAAGAGAGCCAGTGGCAGCTGGAGACAGGCCCTGCTGGAGATCCCTGATCTCAGCACTACTCTAGGACACACATGCATGGTGTCCTGTCTCTGCTTCTAACTTTGGTCACCTGAGGTGAGCTATGAGGACCTCAGGCAATCACAGCAACCAGGAAGAGGTGTACAGTGCCACAAGCAGCCTGGAGATGCCATACAGGGATGCTTACACTTTTTTTATTTCCAAAGCAAAAAGCAGGGGCATCCTATGCAAGGAGCGGCAAGCAGAGGGAGAGCGAAGGGAGGTGATATCTCGTTCGGTGCATGGGCAATCCTGAGCATTCCAGCCCAGCTATAGCCCTCTAAGGATTGTTCTTAAAGTGATGGAGAGAGGTGACTCCTGCCTGTGAGCCAGCTGCACCAGCCTGGCCCCGGGAACATGGGCGGCTGTATTTTCATTGCAAATTAGAAATCAATCATAGCAGGAAATTCCCGTGCTGAGAACACCCTTGGCTGTCATTATTTTACAACACTCCGAGGTGTTCTGGGCACTTAGAAAGACATGGCCCTTTCGGGGTATTATGGGGCAAATTAGTTTTAAAGGCAGCTGTAGGAATGTTGGCCATTTGGTTTCCAGAGCCGGATGGGCACAGGTGGAGGCTGCAAGGCTTTGTGCTGCCTTCAGATACACCACCGCTCTGCAAAGAGGGAACCAGCCCACTCCGGAGAGAACACCTCGCGCCTGACCCCAGCTTTATTAATAACAAGTAATTAATACAAGAGCGGACGTGCCTTGTGTCTCTGAAGACCTTTTAAGATGTGATTATGTTGTGCTAATCTCACCCCGAAGTACTTCCCTGTTTAGACTGCGCTGGGCCATTAAATATCTGAAAAGCCAGCGGAGACCCCCCCCTCATTGCCCCGGGAAGTACTCGGGGTCTGTTCCCCAGCAGCCAGGCCCCACTTTCAAACCCTCTAAATCAAGTATTAAGCCGAGTCCATCTGGACTGCCAGAAAAAACACTCCCTCTCCCTCATCTGTATCTCATTACCTGCCGTGCCAGCCCCAGCCTCGGAGCCGCTCGCTCCATCCCGCCCAGATGTGCTGCCCCACGCTCGCCTCCCGTATTTCACAGCCGTCAGCAGGACTTCAAGGAATAGCCGAAGGGCCTGTAACACTGCACAGGTTCTTAGCAAAGACGTATATCCAGGTCCCTAATGCAAAGCTGCAGGCACGTACCCTAACGCAAAGCCCCTTTCCCCCTTCCCTGGTCTCATGCCAGGCAAGGGAACTGGGCCCAGGGAACTGGGCACCAGGCTCAGGGCTTGCTGGCCAGGAGGTTTCTGAGCTGCTTTTCTGTTTTTCCTTGCAAAACACAGGTCCAGACTATTGATTTTCAGGGATTCTCCCCTTGGGACCCCGCAAAGCCAGGCAGCCCCACAACAGGGGAAGGGCACCCAAAGGCAGGACAGGACAGAGCAGGTGCCGGTGGCAAAGGCAAGGAGTTGAAGACAGACACTCTAGAAACTGGAGTGATTAAATTTGGGAGCAGCTTACCTTGCACAGGGCAAAGTCAACACTGAGCCTAGAGCCAAAAAGCTACCCAGAGACCAAAATCAGAGAACAACCCCTGTGTTCATTGGCTCAAATTCTGGAATAAAGCTTCCCAGGGAAGGTTTCAGCACTTTCTGCAATGGCAGAAACCTTACTTTTGTTGAAGTTTGGTGCTTCCCTAGGCCTTGCAGGAGCCCAGGACTGGAGGTGAAGGTGCACATCAACCCTTCAGTTGTGAGGAGCATTAGCCCCTTCCTCCCAAGCTTCCCAAGAGCCAGTGTCCGGCCTGCAGCAGGGGCTCAGCATCAGGTGAGGTCATGGTAGAGAAGTATATGGCTGGCCATGCTGAAACATCACTCTACCAGAGGGGCCAGGGCAAGCAGCATTGTCAAGAGGTTTTGGGGGACATGAGGTTTAAGAGGGGGAAGAAAAGCACATCTATTGTCTCACTGTGTTGCTGCCTGCGGAGGGTGTGCAGCCCTGGTCCTACACCAGTCCCCAGTGGCTGGTACTGACTGGGGACCCCAAGCTCCAGCAAGTAACAGGAACACCCCACAGCAGGTCATGGCAAGAAAAGCATTGGGATGAAAAGAATCCTCTTGTCAGCCCAGAGGTGCAGGGGGGGCTTTAATATCACAGAGGAGGAAAGAGAACAGGAGAGGGGAAGAGGGGTACAGGCACTGACACATCCCGTAATGTGGCATGGGAAAGAAGACAGGGCACGGGGCAGGAAGCCTTGGCATGTCCTTCCCCAAGGACTGCAGGTACCTTCCAGGGCTGGCGAGTCGATTCGGGCCGGGGCTCCTGACCCTGCGAGCAAGAGTGGCCGTGTCCGCGGTGCGGCGGGTCCTGGCCGGGGTGTGCGGGGGCTCTGGCATTTCGGTGGCCGCAGGAAGGCGGTGGCAGCCACTGCCTGTGTCGGGATGCCATCTAGTGTCGCTCGGCAGAAGGGCCGTCAGGCAGGGACACCGCGTATAGGGTTCCAGTCTCCGAGCATCGCCGAGCGTCAGTGGGAAGGCATCCCAAAACGGCCTGGCTACTGGGACCCCTACTCTGGGAACGGCCTGGGTGCCGGGTCCCCCACCCTGGGAACGGCCTGGGTGCCGGGTCCCCAGCCCCAGGGATACGCACACCCTGCGGCCAGCACCGCTGCAGATCCCAAAGAAGGACAACAGGCACAGCCCAGGTCACACAGGACAGCAAAGCTTAAAGTGGTGCCTGAGCTGGCTCGGGGGTCCCCGGATCAGCCAGAGCCTGAAGGCTCAGCAGCCTCACAGGCGGCCCGGGGCGGTGTCGTGTGTCTTGGTGAAGGAGAAGGGCGAGCATCCCCCAGAGCAGCGTGCAGGCTGCCTGCAGCGCCAGAGCGGCCAGCCCCAGCGCCAGGGACAGCCGGCACTGCCGTGGACTGGCCCACAGGGACCAGCCCCGGGCACGATGACCGCTGGGGGCCAGGGGCGGGGAGGCTGGGCAGGGGCTCGTGTGGTCTGGCGGCAAAGGGATGGGAGGCGTTGGGAGTAGGACGGTGCCTGCCAGGGCAGGAACATGTTGGGGAGCACTGGGGGTGGGCTGGGTGCCAGCTGGGGACAAGTCCCATGTGGTGGCACGGTCCTGCTCCCTGCCTGGTGCAGGAGCATGGTGGGATGGGGAGTGTGAGGCCAGTGGGACTGTGCCCAGTGCAGCAGTCTTGGGGGATGGCCTGAGTGCCATGGAGGGGGCTGAGACAAGGGAGGTTTTGGGTGTTCCCTGTGGGATGGTGGCTGGCCTCTCCCTGGGCACTGAAAGAGCAGGAGGCACTTGTCTGGTGGTGGTTGCCAGTGGTCTGGTGGGCACCAGAAGAACAGGAAGCACATGTCTGGTGGTGGCTGCCAGCGGGCTTGTTGGCATCTGTGTGGTGGCAGAAGCTAGGGTGGATCGCACAGGTTCTGGGTGGGTGGCCCCAGGAGACTGGAAGCTTACAGTGGCTGAAGTTGGCACAGCTGGTGATGGGCTGGTGATGAAAGCCCTGAGCGTCACGGTTGATGATGATGGTGTGGCAATGGAGGCTGTTGGCAGCACAGTTGTTGTTGGTGTGTTGATGAAGGTCTCTGGCAGCGCAGTTGGTAATGGGGTGGTGATGGAGGCCTTTGGCACCACGGTTGTTGACGGTGTGGTGATGAAGGACTTGGGCACATTGGTTCTTGATGGGCTGTTGCTGAAGGCCTTCTGAAGCACAGCTGATGGTGGGGTGGTGACAAAGGCCTTAGATGGCACAGTCAGCAATGGAGTGGTGAAGGTGCCCTCCGTTGGGACAGTTGGCAACATGGCAGAGGTGACCACAGGTGACAGAACAGTTGTGAATGTCCTGATGGGAAAGGCTGCCAATGACAGCAAGGTTGGCATTGCTGTGAACAAGCCTCCAAGTGATGGCAAAGTTGACATCCTTTGTGATGATGTGGAGTTAAATGGCAGAGATGGGATAAAAGAAGCTGAAAGAGGCAGAGTAGCTGGGCAAATTAAGTGGTCATCCCTCAGCAATGTTACTGCTTGCCCTGCCAGGTGGGGTGGGCTCTTGCATGAGACTTGGGTGGACAATTTGACCTTCTCACTGTTACTCAGGATCCAGCTGTGCAGGGAGCAGAGGTTGCAGTCACATCTCCATGGGTTACCACTCAGATACACTGAGCTGAGCTTCTTCAGGGGGTCCAGGAGCCCTCGGGGAACACTCTCTAGCTGGTTCTTTCGAAGGTTGAGGGTTTTCAGATTTGGGAGAGAAGCAAAGACCTCTTCATCCAGAGCAGAGAGCTGATTTGTGTCCAGCTGGAGGTCCAGGAGCTTGCTGAGCCCAGTGAAGGCTCCTCTTGGCAGGGCTAACAGCTGGTTGTGGGACAAGATGAGTTTTCCAAGGGATGTGAGGTTGACAAAGATGCCATCTGGAAGTGTGGCCAAACTGTTCCTGCCCAGGTCCAGCTCCCGTAAGTGTGGCATGGTGTCAAAAAGGCAGCAGGGGAGCTCCACAATATGGTTTGAACCCAGAGTCAGCAGCTTCAATTTCTTTAAACCAAAAAAGCCCTGAGGTGGGAGAACCCTGATGAGATTGTTGTCCAAGAAGAGTTTCTCTAGGTGAGGCAGGCTTCTCAGGAACATGGGTGGCAGCGCCCTGAGCCTGTTGCTCTGGAGGCTGAGCTCCAGCAGCTCCATCTGACTGTCCAACAGTCCCTCTGGGAGGTCTTGCAACTCATTCTCATACAGCCGGAGGACCTGCAGCCGGGTAAGTTTGCTAAAGGCATTCACAGGAAGAGTTGTTATCCTGTTTCTAGACAGGTCCAAAAAGGTTAAATTGACGAGACAATCAAAAATGCCTTCTGGAAGAGAAGGGATTGCATTGATGTGCAGGGAGAGCTCTCCCAAATTTTCCAGCCCATCAAAGAGGCCTTTGGGGATGTATCTGAGTTGGCTATCTCTCAGCTCCAGCCTCTGTAAGCTTGGGAGGTTTTGGAAAGTGCCCACAGATAGTTCTTCTAACGAGGCACCAGAGATATCCAAGTCCCTCAGCTTGTCCAGATTATCAAAGGCTCCAGGTTCAATTGTCTTGATCTTGTTGCCAATAAACAAAATCTTGATCAGGTTGGGCATGTACCTGAAAGCACCTTTCCTTATAGCAGTGATGCTGGTTTGCACAAAGATCATTTCAGAAATGAAGGGCTTTGCAATCTTTGGGATCTCTTTGACATCATTTTTTGTCCCTCTGTAGACCTGCTGGTAGTCTTTGGGCATTTCATATGGATCTTCACCCAGGATTTGATCTTGGCATTTATGGGGATGGAAGGAGAGGAAGAAAAGGAAAAGGAAATGCTGGTACATTGTCTTGAAAAAAAAAAAGGTTTAAAAAAATCAGTTATGAAGAACAAAAAACCTGTGTTCACAGCTCATGAATTGTGGCATCACACTGTTGTTCAGCTCTCAGGACTCTTCTACTCACATATGGTAACTCATTCAATAAGAAAGAGAGAGACCATACAAGCAAACACACACTGCATTTAGATGAATTCACTGCTGTAGTACAGAGGGATGGAGAGGGAGAGTGAGCCAGCTCATGGCTTGGCACTGGGAGATGCTCCAGGGGGACAAGGGCTGGACAGTGTGTTCTCTGCCCTTCTTCTCCCACGTCTCAGCTGCAGGCTCCGTGTCTGCCTGGGTGAAGAAGGCAAAGTGCTGCTGCCCATTAGTGCTGCCCCAGTGGGTCCAGTTAGTCAGCAGGGCAACAGCCCATTCATGGAACAACAGGAGCAGTCAGCCCTGCACTTGATAATGAGGGATCAACAAGGGTCCCAGGAGGCAGCCAAGACCAGAGGATCTTGTGTACTCAGAATTTCCACACCGTGCTGGGTGGACTTGCTATTTCCTTGCTGCTTCTCTCAGTTCAGGGCAATCATTTAAAACATGGCCCCTAAGCATCTCCTTCTCAGGATTCTTGCTAATTGCACCATATTTTGGCCTTGGTTGTGCAGCTCTGTCAGACAGAAATGGTTAACTTGTGAGCAGCAACCAAGCTTTAGAGCAAGGCTTGTTAAAACGCTATGAAATGTCCATAGATGAACTCTTTAGTACCTAAGGTTTTAGGGCTCTGGCCTTGCAGGTAGAAAGTGAAGTCACTGATGCACAACCACTAGTAGAGCCCACCACTTCCATGGAAACATTTGGAAACACTCAGCTAACACATTAGCTGGGGTTTAACGACCGTGAGTATTGCACTGGGATCACAGTTTCCAACTTTTGATTTGCAGCCGTGGGTGGGAGCAGGGAAAAGAGCTATAGGCTGCTTATTGGTGTCCGTCAAAGCTGACATGCAAAACCCTTATGTTGCGAGGGTACATTAGCTATGAGGAGTTATTTTTTTTTAAATGTCGAGAGGTCAGCAAATACAGGAGGCTGAAAGCCACTGGGTTTGAAGAGAAACCAATGGGAGGTGGTGACATTGGTTGTGCAGGCTGCCCTGCAGGGTTGCCCAGGGCAGAAGCCACTGCTGATCCCTGCCCATCCTCTCCTCAGGGAGACTCAAGTGGAGGAGCCGGGGCTGCAGGTGTAAAAGTGCCTGCTTCACTTCAGCTGCAGGAGCAGCACAGTGGGTGAAATGTGCAGGTGGAAACAGCTGGGTGCACGGGGATGAAAACAGACAGTTCTGAACTGCAAAGCTCTTTTAAAACCCTCAGTGTGATCCCTTGCATGTCCCACCCTCCAGCAGCACAGGGTCATGAAGGGGCGTCCCCACCCAGCTCATGGCACTCCAGCCTCTCCTGCTTCTTGCTGCAAGGAAACAATCAACAGCCCCCCACAGGGCCCCTCCCAGAACATTTTAAAGAGCAAAAAAAGTTTTTGCATCACTTACTTGGTGCACTCACAGACAAGTCCAGGCTGCAGGAACAAACCATGCCATGTGTGGAGTGAGGACACCGGATGGGGGTCCCATCACCTGGCCAGCTCTTTATCCGCAGCCCAGGCCCAGGGCCTGGTTTCACGTGAGGTCAGGGCACAGGTCTGCGTGGGGAGATAAGGGACGGCCAGGGAGGCAGCAGCGGAGCTGTGCCCCCGGTGTGGGAGGCCGTGGAAGAAACCCCTCGGAGAGGACTCAGTCACGTACTCCCCAGGCGTTATCTCCTGGCGCCACTTGACTAGTCACATCCAGGGAAACCTGAAGATTTCCAGGCCAGCCTGTTTTGCAGCCAATGGTCTCTGCAGTCCCATATCTCCAGCAGCATAACCCGCCAGCTTCATAGGCACCACCCCCACCGACACAAGAATAAGCTGTTTCCTTCCTCAGGATTCAGCTTATGTAGCTAAAGGTGCAGTTCTGGAGCCATTTGTTTATGCTCATAACAGTGATGACATCTGTGGCTGGACAGATATGCCGACGCCCACGCTCTGTGCTCAGCCCCACAGCTCCACACCACAGGGCTGGGGCTGAGTGTCCTGTCCTGCACCCTAACACAGGCCAAAGACCCTCCTGCAGGGACATCCAGGGCTGCTGGCTGTTGCAGGGCATCCTGTGGGAAGAAACGGGTATCCATCTCTTCCCAACAGGTAATTGCACTGATTGCATTTAAACATGTCTTCTTTAGTTTTCACCTGCACTTATTAAGGCTCAGCTTGTGTTTGCTGGGCTTCATTGCACCTTTCTTGGCAAATTTAAAAACAAACCACTGCACATTTTCAACAGCCTTACTCCTTTCCAACATCAATGCCATATGCATCCAGTTTCCTACTTGGTGCCAGGCTGTTCCAGAAGCTGCAGAGTGGCAGGAGCTGAAGTGCATGAGGGGACAGAGCTCACAACAGGATTGCCACCAGCTACCTCAGGTCACAGTGTGGCAGCTGTGCCAGGGTTTGGGGAACTGCATCCAGCTGCAGTACCCTTGGTCCAGGCTTGGAGGTGGCCATGCCAGCATCACCTGGGAGATGTCTGAAGCACAGTGGCAGTCCCCCATTTGGGAGAGACAGTAGGATGACTGTGCAGAATTGTATCTGGGAAGCAGTGTTGCCTGTCTGCATTGCTCCCAGGAGCATGGGGCTGGCAGTCATAGAACCATGTAGGTTGGAAAAGACCTCTAAGATCACCGAGTCCAACTGTTAACCCAGCACTGACAAGTCCACCACTAAAACATGCCCCTAAATGCCACATACACACATTTCTTTAATCCAGAGGCTAAAGCAGGGCTGGGATCGCAGCCCACTACCAGGGCAAGTGGGGCCAACCGGAGACCCTGCCCACCCCAGGTGGGCAGCAGCAGGGCAGGGGCTCCAAGGACACACAGCCCAGCAGTGGGGCCGGGCCGGGAGGGGCGCTCCGAGGAGGGCGGCGGGGCTCAGGGAGGGATCCCCCGGCGCTGCCCGGCCCGCGGAGCCCTGTCCCTATCGCCGCGAGATGGTGCCGCAGCACCGCCCTACCTACACTCACAGACACACACGCACTTACACCACCGTGTGTGCACCCACACCTGCTCCTCCCGCGGGAGCACCCACCTTACCTGCCACCCCCTGCGTGGGCAGCGCTGCTGGGACTCTGTGTCTCCTCTCCACGGGTCACAGAATCATCATCACAGGATAGCTGAGGGTTGGAAGGGGCCACTGAAAATCATCTAATCCAACCTCCACGCTGAAGTAGGACTCCCTGGGTGCGTTGCTCAAGGCTCTGTTCAGGTGGCTTTTGAGTATTTTCAGAGAAGGAGACTCTACAGCCTTGCTGGGCAACCTGTTCAGTCACCCTCACAGTAAAGTTCTTCCTCCTGTTCAGGTGGAATTTCCTGCATTCCAGGTCCAGGCTGCAGGGCTGCAGACCAAGCCCTGGCAGGGTATGGGGGGACCAGCCAGTGGATACCTGGGGTGGAGCTCACCCTGCAGCCAGGCAGCCCATGCCCCTTGCTGGGTAGTCAGTAGCACTCACCCATGCTTCCCTTGGACACCCCAAAACCGTGCCCTGAGTGTTATTGCCAGGCTGCAGCTGGGTCTCTGCAGTGCCAAGGGAAGCAGGGCAGGAGGTGGGGCTGGTGGGCTGCAGTGGGTAGAGATGAGCACACCATGAGTGTGCCAAAGAGCCACCTACTCACCACCATGCACCTGCACCCACACCACACCATGCTCAGCCCCAGACCAGACCCCAGTGGGTCACATCGACCTTCACCACCTCTCCCAGGTACACAGGCAGATGTGGGGGAACAGAATGATTCCTCTCTCTGCCATGGGAACTGGTTGCACAGAAATAATATATACATTTTAATTATATTTGAAATATACAGGAAACACATAGTTTGGAGAATAAATACCACTAGGCCAGCTGTTGTGGAGAGCTCAATGATGGCTGGTGACCAAGGCAGGGGTAGCAGAGCAAGACTGGGTGCTGTTTCCCAGGCTGGCTCAGAGGTTTCCAGTGCAGAAGCTGGCACCTGCCTGAGCTCTAGGGCACAGCAGGGAGACCTGGCGATGTGGCCTCACTCCCACTCTGTGCTGTGACAAGGACACTGACCTGCAGTGTGCCACAGTGGGAGTGCAGCACCCAGGCACCCTGGTACACCGGCCCCAACCCCTGCACTTGCTCGGGAGGAGGAGAAGGGAGGCGAAGGCTGAGCTGCTGGCAGCTTGTGGCATCACAGGCCATGCTTACAGTGCCCTCAGGGTTGCTGTAGGTGCACTGTCCTGGAGCATCCCTGTCCCAGCCTTCCTCTGGGGGGACACCAGGTCCTCTCGGGCACTCCAGCTGCCCCCGGGGGACCTCCAGCAGGGACTGTCCCTGGAGAGCAGCTGGACTGGCACAGAAGGCTTGCCCATGGATGAGGGGCTCAGCAAAGCCCTGGAGCCAGCGCAGGAGATAGGCAAGGTGGCAGTCACAGGCCCAGGGGTTGTCAGACAGCCCCACACGCACCAGCTCATCATTGGCATCGAAGAGCCCCAGGGGCAGGCGGGCCAGGCGGTTGTGGTCCAGTGCCAGGGCAGTGAGGAGGGGCAGCCCAGCCAGGAGCCCTGCTGGCAGGCTGGAGAGGTTGTTGTGGCTCAGCTGTAGTGCTGTCAGTGCTGCCAGTCCCTGGAAAACCTCAGTGGGCAGGTGGTCCATGGCATTGTGTGAAAGCACCAGGGTCTGCAGCGCCGACAGGTTGGAGAAGAGCTCCTGGGGCAGCGTCTCCAGCTGGTTGCGACCCAGCGAGAGGTGGAGGAGGCCAGGTGTGCCAGTGAAGAGGGTGGCAGGCAGGGTGGCCAAGCGGTTGCCCTCCAGGCTGAGCACAGTGAGGTTGAGGAGACCAGTGAAGATGTCGGGGGCCAGGCTGCCCAGGGCGTTGTGCTGCAGCTGCAGCCGCCGCAGCCCCCCCAGCCCGGTGAAGATGCCAGGTGGCAGCTCCTCCAGCCGGTTCCCATCCAGGTGGAGCTCAGTCAGCTGGCCAAGTGCCCTGAAAGCGCCGGGGGGCACCCGCACCAGCAGGTTGTCACTGAGTTTGAGGAGGCGGAGGGCAGTGAGTGGGGCCAGCAGCCCCTCTGGCAGCTCAACCAGGACATTCTGCGAGAGGTCCAGGGCCTGGAGCTGCCGGAGTGGGTGGAAGATGCCAGGGGGCAATGCCACAATCCTGTTCCCTGGCAAGCGCAGGTCCCGCAGGCTGCATGCAGCAGTGAAGAACCCTGGCTGCAAGGAGCTGATGGCATTGGCACCCAGGGAGAGCTTGCTGAGGTTGGTCAACCCCATCAGCACCCCAAGGCTGACTGCTGGCAAGGGGTTTCCTGACACCTCCAGCTCGGTGAGGCTGGGCAGCCACTGAAAGGCACCGGCTTCCAGCTCCTGGATGTTGTTGTTGAGGAAGACCAGCTTGGTGAGGGTGGTACTGGTGCCCAGGGCCCCCCTGCGCACACTGCTCAGGCCTGTCTCCACAAAGAAGAGCTGTGTGGCACTGCCTGGCAGGCCCGCCGGGATCTCCCGCATCCTCTCATCTGAGCAGAAGACTTTGGAGGTGTCGTAGCACTGGCAGGTATGGGGGCAGGATGGGGGCAGCCCCCTCACCAGCAGGGACCCCAGCCCCAGCAGCACGCAGATCACCAGCCTGCACTGTAGAAGGATCCAAGCCTCACCCTCTTGCCTCGACAAGGCAGAAATCTGCACCCACAGGCAGGAATAGGGAGTGCTTCCCTCCCACATCTCTCCCCAGGGTTCTTACCCTCTGTCCCAGCCTGCCCTACTACAACTAGCGTCGTGCCACCCTCACAAAGATCCCCACATCCTGCAGAGCAGTGACTGAGGTGAGACCCATGTAGGTCTGTGGAAGGAAACTGTCTTGGTGGGTACCTGTAGCCTCATGAGATGTCTCCAAGGGCACGAAGCCAGGCTCTGGTGCAGGGGAGCAGGTGAAGCACAGGGCTGTGCTGCACACAGTGGGTGATGGGGACAAAGCTGAAGGGCTGCTCTGCATCAGGGGCAAGAGAAGTGGGCTCCATCAGTTGTATTTCCAATTGCCCATCGGGTACTTCTTTTGCCACAAGCAACTAGAGCAGCATCAAACATGCCCAAGGGATATTCAGCCTGACCAAATGCCTATTCCCAGCCCATGGGAGGCACTTTTTGAGGCAGTGACCTCCAGACCTCTGCCAGTCCCTCCTTACTTGGGATACCCGCCAGTGCTGCCTCATGATGGGGGATGTTGCCCACCCCACAGCAATGCCCACCTGCAGACACCCCTCATCAGTGGAGCCATCCTGGACTTACACCGACACTTGAGAACAGCGCTGGGCTTGGCGTTTCCTTTCCACCACCTCGCTTGTTTTCACCAGAGCCAGCAGTGGCTCCCACCCGTCCCAGGCCCCCCAAACTATCCGAGCGCTGTGGCCCCACCACTTACCGAATGTGGCATCGTGGAGATGGTCACCAAACCTGTGGCAGGTTTGCAGGGATGCTGCTTGCTGAGATGGGACAGTGTTTTCTGGGGCGGATGGGAAGCCAGCAGACGAGCTGTTCCTGCTGGGGCGGAGCTGCCCCTCACTGCTTATCGGCAACAACAACCCGTGTCCTTGGAACACTTTGAAAAATAACCCAACCCCGGAGGACTGGAGGTGAGGCCAGAGGCAGCCGCCCGTGAGCATCCTGGCAAGGAAGTGGGGTCTTGGCCCCGGACATCCACTGACCCAGGGATAGTGGCAGGGGTGGCTCCAGTTCCACACTGAGGTCAGCAGGCTTGCTTCCAGAAACCCCCTAGGAGAGCCCCAGGACTTTATTAAATCTCACTGGGAAATGATGCTAGAAAGCATCTGTGTCATGAGAGAGGGGACCAGGCACAGCTTAGCAAGGCAAATGAAGGTTGGACTTGATGATGTTAGGGTCTTTTCCAACCTTAATTATTCCATGATTCTGTGGGGAGGGGACCACTGTGGGACCATCATGGTGACAACACGTGTTTTGCATCCCAGCCAGCAGTGGGATGGCAAGGGACCCGTGGACCAGCTGGACTCACTAGAAGTTTCAACCTGCCTGGGGGAGCAGCGCATAAGGGCTGCATTGCAAGGGCCTGTATTGGAACAGGACAGGGTGGCAGCACGATGGAGGCACCCCCAGGGTCAAGAGGGGGGGACACTTTACTGCTGGCCTGATGGAGCAGACAGTGATACACAGAAAAACTCAGCAGACACAGTCCAGCAGCAGCCAGCTCTGAAGGGAGCCAAGCAAGCTCCTCCCCACCCCAGCAGTGGATTGCACAGGACACAGTCAGTGGCTCCATTGAGAAGCTCGCTGTGGTCTCAGCTCACTCTTCAAGAGCCATCTGCTGCTGCTAGATGGCTGAGCCCTTCTTGGTCCCTCACCCCAGGCTGGAGTCCAGGGACCAGCAAGGACTCTGCAACAGCAATCCACTAATCTTCTCCCAGCCCCACCAGCCTGTACGGGCTTTCTCTCAACACTACAAAAACCTCTTAGGAGTGGAAATCAAGCACAGCCCCTGTCCCTATTGGGCCATTCCCCTGCTGTACACCATGAAGGAGTGAATAAACAGTTCTTGGCACTGAGGGTAGACAAAGGTACTTTAATGAAGAGGTCACACATCAGCACCCAACAGCCCCAGGACACAGTCCTGTGTCTCCTGCTGCCGTGCAGGACCCAGCCCAGAGGAGTGACCCATCATGTGCACCAGCGTGGAGCTGCTTGTGCCAGCACTGCCTCCTGAGGTGCTGTGAGCAGCCAGCACTATGGGGTGGCCACTGAGTGTGACCCTTGTCCCATGGCTGCAATCCTCAGGCAGCCTGGTGCCACTGCAGCACATGTGGAGGTGAGTTGGACTCTGTGGCTGTGCTACAGCTGGAGAAGGCTGGGTGTTCACTGGATGCAGGTGCTGGGGGGGGGATGGTGTGGCACCCATTTGTGAATTGCAGAGCAGCTACTGCTTGCTGACCCCTCCACTGTGTGCTGCCAGCATTCCCACTGCCCAAGGGCTATGAACAGGCAGGGAGACTGGACACATACAGGCAGGGCACTCAAGAGAGGAAGAAGAGCGTGAAGAAGCTTTGCCAAGCAGAAGAGGAACAGGCTGCTCACTAGCTGGTGGAGGATGCATGAGGTATCGAGGACCAGGGATGGGCTGCAGCAGGAGCAGCCTCAACATGCTCCAGATGCTCAGGGACACAAGCACAAGAGTCTCTCCCAGGCCCTGCAGACACTTCACACCCATCGTTCCACTCCTCTAACTCCCCCTGCAGTGGGGCCAGTGCCAGGCCCCTCAGCACCTCATGGGCCTGAGGCTGCAGGCAGGGACACGGCCACGGCACGGTCAGCACCAGCGTGCAGTGAGGGCTGGGGGGCTGCCCCTACCCCACTGACGCCAGCACACTGCCCCGTGACTCTCCTGGCTGGAAGTGCAGGAGGGGAGCAGGAGGATGCCGGGAGCAGGGGAGGATGCTGGCTGTGCTCTGGCATGCCCTGCCTGCAGGCAGGGAGGGCAGCTGGGACGCGGCTGAGACACTCAGGGTGTATCAGTCTGGCAGCAGCCCTGCCCCGCGGGGAGCCCTGCCCCGGCACAGGCGAGTGACGGCGCAGCACAAGGACATGGAGCTCTCCCGGGGCGAAGGTGCTCGCTCGGCACGGCCTGATGGCTCACACTGCCTGTCCAGGGAGGGACGGGGGAAGGCACGACAGGGGCAGAGGATGGGGAGGAGGGGGTGGGCAGGGGTGAGGTTAGCAGGAAACACGAGAGCAGCAGCACTACAGGTAAGGATGCAAGCTGAATGATGGGGAAGTCCTATTATTTGGGGTAAGCACCATCATTACCAGGCTGTGGCTCCTGGCTCAAGGGATCCCTCTCAGCACCTCACACTCTAGCTGCCGGACCTTGGGCAGGGAACGAGCACAGAGGCTGCACTGGAGGCAGGAGGGGCTAGAGATAGAGGGCAGCCACAGGAGATCACCCAGGGGGATGCCCTGCTGCAGAGCAGGGGCCGGGCAAAGCAGAGAAGGACAATGGTCGGTACATGCAGCACACAGGATGATGCTGTCCCATCCCAGTCAGCAAGGGCAGCTGATGCAGAGCCACTGTCATGTCCCTTGGCCCCACAGAGAGGGGATGCCCCATGAGCACCTCTCCCCCCAGGGTCTGCTGGACACTCAGGCTTCATTCGGTGCCTTCATCCTCATAAGCACGACGTGGCTCTTCTTCCTACAGCCATAGACCACCAGTGCCACCAGAGCAGCAAGCAGGGCCACACACAGCAGCACGATGACTGCCACCACCACTCCACTCTGTATGCGTGTCAGCCCCCACTGCCCTCTCTCCTCCTCCTCCTCCTCCTTCTTCTCCTCCTTCTTTTGCTCCTTCTCCCTCTCCTCCTCCTCCCGTGGGGAGATAGGCAGCCCCGCGGGGGGCTCCATCCAGGTGCCCTCCGGCGGTGCTGCCTCAGAGCTGTGAGCAGGAAGGTGGGTGCTGGGATGGGGGGAGGCAGTGGGGGACTGGGTGTCGAGGAACTGGTCCCGTGGCAGCTCAGCGACGGGGGTGCCCAGTAGGGCAGGAGGCTGGGCGCACAGCGGGGGTGTCTCACCCACCTTGTGGGGGTTGTCCTCCAGCCAGCCCTGCAGGGGCAGGATGCCCTTGTCACAGCGCCAGGAGTTGTTGTGCAGCCTCACCTCTCGCAGGGTAGTCAGGGGGGAGAAGATGCCGGCGGGCAGGTACTCCAGGGCATTGAAATGCAGCTGCAGGTGTTGCAGCCCAGGGGTGGCCCGGAAGAGGCCCCGAGGCAGCGCCTGCAGCTGGTTGTGGTGCAGGGAGATGTTCTGCACCTTGGGCAGCCCCTCCAGCACCCGGGCATCCAGGCGGCGCAGCGCATTGGAGTGCAGCGACAGCTCCAGCAGCTCCCCCAAGCCCTGGAAAGCCCCCGGTGCCACCGAACGCAGCCGGTTCTTGCTGAGAACCAGGAGCTGCAGCTGGGTGAGATTGGTGAAGACGCCAGTGGGGAGGCTGGAAAGCTCATTCTCGTAGAGCCACAGCTCCCGCAGGTTGGGCATGGGCCCAAAGGCACTGGGGGAGATCTCCCGCAGGCGGTTGACATGCAGGGTGATCTTGGCAAGGGAGTGCAGGGGCAAGAAGATGCCACTCGGCAGAGTGGTGAGAAGGTTATTGGACAGGTAGAGCTTCTGCAGGTTGGTGTTGTGCACGAAGAGCTCCGGGGACAGTGTCTCCAGCTGGTTCTGGTGCAGCCCCAGCTCCTGCAGCTCTGGCAGCCCATCAAAGGTGCCTGCTGGGATCTGCCGGAGCCGGTTCTCATAGAGCCGCAGCACCTGCAGCCGTGCCAGCCGCTCGAAGGCCCGGGGCGGCAGGCGGTCGATGTTGTTCCTGGCCAGGTTGAGCTTGGTGAGGCTGGTGAGCTGGTCGAACACCCCCTCCTGCAGCTCCTGCAGGTTGTTCCCGTGCAGCTGCAGCTCCTTGAGGTTGCTTAGGTGGGTGAAGTGGGAAGGCTCAACCTGGAGGATCTGGTTACTGGAGAGGAGTAGAGACTCCAGCTTGTCCAGAGGCTCGAAGACCTGCACAGGGAGCTCCTGCAGCTTGTTGCTGGCCAGGCTGAGGTAGCGCAGGTCGGGCAGGTGCTGGAAGGCCCCGGGGCTTATGTGGGACAGGTTGTTCTTCTCGATGCGCAGCCCAATGAGCAGGGAGGCGTTGCCAAAGGATGCCTCACCCAGCTCGGTGATGCGCGTGTTGATGATCTGAAGGGTCATGGCATTCTCAGGGATGATGGGGACTGTGGTGATGCCAGCACCAGAGCATTCCACCTGGGCACTGCGGACACACTGGCACTGCTCTGGGCACTGGCCACTGGCCAGCTGGATGCCCAGCAGCAGCAGCAGCCACCGCTGCCAGTCTCCCTGCTCCATTGGGCCTGCAAAAACAAAGGTAGAGGGTTCAGCCCCTGCAATTTCCCAGCTCCCAGGGCCACTGCCAGGGGTGGGTGCTGCTTTCTCCCTGGCAAGGGCCACCAAGTCTGTGACCATCCTGTCCCCAGCATGGCAATGAGGCAGAGGAGGGAAGGTGAGGAAGGTGGGGGCAGGCAGGGCTTAGCACAGCCCAGGCAGGAGTGCAAAGTGAGACAGAGCTGGGGGCCACAGTGCCTGGCTGCCATGCCACAGCTATTAGCGGCATCCCTGGCATCCCACCTCTCTTGGCTCCTCTGGCAGCCAGGAGCGTGGTTTCCTGTTTTACAGAGTGTGATGAACTGATACCAGCAGCACTGGCCTCCTGGCATGACCGAATAGTCCAGACCTTGACCAGAGCCAGCCTGGGGCACCCGCAGCCACACAGGACCCAGGGTGCTGGGTGCTCCCCCAGCATCCGCGAGCGCCCTTCCAGCTCTGCCTTGGCAGCGAGCGGCCCTGAGCGCCTGTTGCAGAGCCAAGAGCAGTGCCAGCACCCACTGCCCAGGCACGCTTTAGCTCCAGTACTGCAGGAGCTTGGGTCAACAGGACCCTTGCCAGCTCCCCAGCACAGGCTGGGTACAGGGGTGGCCCTGTCTTCATAGCATTCCCAGCAGAAGGTCTCAGCCCTGGCTGATTTTTGCCATGAGAGCAGGTTGACTGTCGTGGGCACCTTTTGCAGGCTGGTCCCAGGGGCGGTGCCCAGGGAAGCAAGAGCTTTACAGTGAAGTTATCCATTCCCCCACAAGCACAGACCCATGGACACCCTCTCCTCCCTCCCTAGATTAAAGCAGCAGCCTTGTGCCAGGCTGGCATGGAGCAGCCCCCCTCTAACAGCTTTGAGGGCACAAGGGAGGGGGAAAACCTTCAGCTCTGAGCACAGCTCAGCCAAACAGGCGAGTCCAGCAGCACAGGGGTGTGGCCACAGTGCCCCAGCTGGCACAGCACCCTGGGGTGCTGGAGCACAGCCCCTGCCCCCCTCCCTGCACTCCCTCCAAGGAACATGCTTGCTCTCAGGCAGGGTGGGAGGAACCCTCCATAAGCCAGCAGAGTTTATGTTTCCCATATGGAAACAATCTGCATCCAAGAACAGCTTTGTTTATAGTGAGCCATTTATAAACTTCCCCAAAGGCTCAGCACATCAAAAGCCCGGCTCATGTCACTCCCTGGTAATGCAGCGCAGAGAGCATCCAGACTGGAGAGACCTTCAGGAAAGGCAGCTGGAAACAATTGATCTCCCTTTTTCTTCTAGGGACAAAAAAATTACAGACCAAGAGGCTGAATATTCCCTACTGCTCAGCCCCTCAGCACCCCACTGCTCCTAACATTAGCCCCCCAAAATGTTACTTTGCCTCCCTTAATTTTCTCTGTTGATAATTATTCAGGATACATTGCCCATGTAACTCTCTCAGCTCCCACAGTGTCTAAGTGGTCTCACTTTTTTTGGAGAAGCCTTGCAAGATAAACATCTCCATCAAATCAAAAGGTGCTGAACATGCAGATCCCACCAATGCACCACCAACCCTCGGAGCTGCCCTGGGAGTCCCCCAGACCCAGGGCTGCTCACAGGGGCAGTAGCAGAGAGGAGACTTACCCGAGTGTCCTGCAGCCACGAACGCCGAGTGAGCACAGCTCCGTGCTGGCAAGAGAGCTGAGTGTGGTTCATGCTTCCCCTCCCAGTATATAACCCGTCCAAATCAATGAATCAGCACAGGGGCAGTGTCGAGGTTAGGGAAAGCGCTGGAGCAGAGCTGCTTCCAACTCCTATTTCCTCGGCAGAGCAAGCATCTCAAGGATGGAGTTTCCCTCTCCTGAACCTCAGTGCTCTTGTTTGAAGACAAGAAGATAGCCCCATGAACATGCTGCTCATGTCAGCCAGTGTAGCAGCTTGGCCCCAGGAACCCCCCTGGCCCCCAGTGGGACAGCTGTGTGCCTTCACTGGCACACTTCACACCAGGGCTGCTCCATGGCATCACCTCAGCACAAACACAGAATTTGTCTCCCCCTCTATGGTTCCTGCAAGTGTCAGGACCTCCAGTACACTGACCCTGCCCATGCCACAGCTCTCATTCCCCCCCACAGCCACAGATGCACACAGGCCAGGAACCCATGAGCACACACTCCAGGCTCTGTCCTGTGAGCACCTCAACCAGCCCTGCCAAGAAGCAGGCACCATGCCAGGGCCAGTGGCTGTGCAGGTGCCAGCCAGGGGTCAGGCTGCTTCAGAGAGCCCTAAGCCTAAACCAGAGCACTTCTCAGCAGCCATGAGGAACACTTGGGCACTGAGGAACACCCATTGCAGGCATCTCTGCAACTCCAGAGCAGCACACACTGCCATCTCCCAGGAGCTGCCGCTGCTCTGGACCCTCAGCAGTCCTGACACACAAGTGATGGAACCTGGCACACAAGGGTGTTTGGGAAGCATCCAAGTCATCCCATCCACTTGTTCAGGGGCACCTGATGCCACCCCTACCCTGCCCCCTCCAGCCCACATGGGTACACCAGGGTGCCCTTGGTCCCCACCACCTAGCCCAGGTCTCCCCACCCTGCCCACCTCTCTGGGGCAGTCCCAGTCCAGCAGCTAACGGGAACGGATATTCTGCAGGAAGCAGCTAAGGAGAGTCAGCATACGTGGCCCCTTTGAGCTTCCTGGAGCCAGAGCAGTCCCATGCTAACCACGGGGCAGCTGGAACTTGCCTGACCACATCTAATCCCGTCTGAGCCCACCCATGTTTCCGCCAGTTGCAGCAGCCCCTGCTCAGGTCCCAGCTGGTGCTGACAAGCTGCTCAAGATGGGAACAGCGTGGGGCTGCTGCTGGAGAAGGGGGAGGAAGGCGGCCTCCATCCCCACGCCGCAGTGTGTCGTGCTGTGAGGGGTGGGAGGGTGCAGGGCAGTGGAAGGGACAGCAGTCCTGTTCAGACAGGGGACCAGACCAGGATAAACAGCAAACTCCAGGGATGGAGAGCAGAGTTCCCAGACAGTCTTGGAGGGAGGAGACAGGGATCGTGGGAAGATGGTAGGGAGTGGGACCTCAGCCACAGGCAACTGCCACCACTGCCATGGCCCCAGCTGCCATAGGACATGCTGGATGGCCATGGACCCCTTCCCGGCTGGGGAGTGAGCACAGAGGTTGAAACAACTCCCAGGCCATGCTCTCTGCCTGCTCCAGGGCAAAACCCAGACATTTGGGCACAGAGAAAGGGCATTTTGAAAACACCACCCCCCAAGTGCTCTAGCTCACACTCTATTGATACAGCAAATTTTCCCAGAACCATGGTTCCCAAAATAATCTCCCCGCTTCCTTGACAGCAGTGCAGCTGGAGGTCAAGGCTTGGGAGCTGCCCACTCCCTGCAGCCCTGGCATGAGAGTGGGGCTCTGGGAGCCTTATCGCAGCCTTATTGGGCTCTGTCTGCCCACTGCCAGTGCTGCTGGGCTCCTGCCTGCTCTGACTCACCCAGAAGCACACAGCTTTTCAGCAAGGCAACACAGAAACTAAATCCCAGCACTTCCGATGCCCAAGCCCAATTTAACAGAGGAATGTTGGGTTCACCTCCTTCCATGCAGTGCTGCCCCAGGGATTTAGTTGTGGGTACCCTCAAACACCCTGCCCCAAGAGGGGGGTGATCAGGTTATGATCCCTACTGCCACGCAGAGTGCCCAGAGTTTCAGAGAAGTCCAGTTAACAGCCCTGACAGAAATCCACCAGCCTCTACCTGGGCCTTGGGAACCTGGCTCTGGCTGGGAAGGATGACTTATTTTCAAGACATTCCTAAAAATAAATGCACAAGCCCGTGCACCACTCCCGCAGCCGGAGGTGAGCGCATGGGAGCTTGCCCCAGGCTACTCACAAAGCAGAGAAGCAGAGGGTGTGAGAGTTTGGGACAGCAGCACAGACACACCCCACACATCTGGAGGGGAGAGGCAGCTCCCGAGACAGCATAAGGATATGATGGAGGGTGAGATTAGCATTTTGCAGGGAGAGGCTACTCCGCATAGCCAGGAGCTCACACAGCGCTGGATGTGGAGCAAGTCTCCCAATGCTGGGGGAAAGCCCCACATCCAGCATTGCTCTGTGGACCTTTCTCATCTCCAGCCACACCAGCCAGAGGCTGAACTCCCCTGACCAACCTTGGGATACTGAGGAGCCACTGCCAAATCCCTGCACCTCCAAGGAGGCTATGGAGCCCCAGAAGAGCAGTGTCACTTATTACTAGGGAGGTCTGCCTTCCTACAGGACAGCGTACCAGTCCTGTGTCTGTCCGTGCTGGCATTGCTCCAGCACATCTCCATGGCGAGGGTGGCGGATGCAGCAAAGCTGAGCGGCTCTGAATCACCAAGGGACTCGAGACTGCTTGGAAAAATTCATGTAATCACTAAAATTAGTAGCTTGTGGGCTTGGCTGGGAGAGTGCATTGTTCATCTGCCAAGCAGCTGAGCACACTCATCCGCTCCCTGCAGCCCCCGCTCCCCTCTCAGCCCCTGCTCCCTGTACACCTCCAGCTCCTGGCTAAATTGGCACCCTTGGTGGGATGGAACGTCCCCAGGCCCCACCACTCCCCACAGTGCAGTGCTGGGACCCCCCCAAATTACTTTGCACTGCTGTAAAGTGCCAGCCCTGTTACAAGAAACCTCCATGTTGGCCCCTGGTGCTCGCAGAGACCGGCTCGCCCGGGGCATCAGGCCAAACACTGCTGAAGTGGAGGAGGAGGGTGGAGGGCTGGGCTAGGGGCCATGGAGGGGATCTTCCCCATGTTCCAGTGTAGTGGAACACCTCTGGGTCTGAGCCCTGCAGCAGGACCCACAGGCTCAAGCCAGAGCTGAGGGGTGAGGAAAGGGGCATTAGTTCCTCAGGGACTGGTGCTGGGGCCCCCCTACCCCTTAGAGAAGCACCAGTAGCCCCTACCTCACCCCATGCCCACCCTAATCCCCTGAGGAACCCAAACCAGAGAGCTCCTCGATAGAGGAAATGATCCAGCCCCAGTGGCATGTTCAGCTCCCTTCTCAGGGAATGCAGGGCCAGATGATGCCCTCTCTGCATCTGACCCAAAGGATGGGGACATCCTGCTTTCCCTGGGAAAGTGCTTATGCAAAGTGGGAGCTTTGGGAGGGAGCAGCAGCCCTGGTCCCTCCAAGACAGTCGCAGGGATGGCCATCAGGCTAACCTCCATCCAAGCACCACCACAACCCTACTGGAGCTCAAGGGAAATGGCAGGTAGGATCTCAAGCACCAGTGGGGCTCACCCCACCAGCAGAACCGTCTCCTCCAGACCCGGACCTGGCCCGAGCGATAGCAGAAGCACGCAGGGCTTGGCGCAGGCTCAGGGCAGCACTAGGCTGGAAGGAATGTGGGGCTCGCAGCCAAGTCCGCCTGGAGAGATAATCCGAAGCGGAAAGAGCTTGTCCGAGAGGGGGGAAGGACCAGCTGGAGCAGGAGGCGATGGCGTGGGGCTTGTGCACTATGAGGTGTTTGCTGGACCAGCTTTACCCTGTTCTCCATCTCTGTAAAGCCCCCCCAGGCACCAGGAAGGGCCCCAGGGACCTCTTCCCAACATCCGAAGGGGGAAGGGACCCCATCTCTCCCCAGGGGAAGGCAGCAGAGGAGTGTTCAGCAGGATGCAGAACTGCTGCCAGCCATCACTGGCTCTCTGCCCCAAGCTTTTTCCATCCAGAGAGACACAAAGGCACAGCTGGAAGCCTGGCACATCAGTCCTACAGCAGAGATTGCACAAGAGGGGCTGAGCCGGTGGGGGAGTGGTGGGGGGTGGCTCCGGGTGCTGCTGGAACAGCAGCCCCCCACCCTGAAGTGAAGTGGGACTCGCCCTGTATAGCCCAAGCAAGAGGCTGTGCCAGGGTTTATCCATTCATAAACACCCAGAAGAGAAAGGGTGAACCCAGACTTTGGCTATGAAAACGGAGGCATGACACCTCCTTAGCTTGTCCGTTCCTAGAAGGGACAAAGCAGGAGCTTCTGGGCCCCTGACCTCTGTAAGAGTTAGTAAACATTCAGCCTCAGTCTTGTCCAGAGGGTACGTGCCTTTGGCTGCGTCTCCTTCCAGCTCCTCTGTCATCCATAGGAAATGTTCTGATATCAGGGCTGCCGAGTCAGCAGCCCCAGGCAAGAGCTGCTGGTCGCAGGCCTGGCAGAGACACAGTTAATGCTCCATAATGTCAGGACCCACTTGACCAGGGATTAGGTACCTCCAGCTCTTCCAGCCCACTGTCTCCCCAGCCCAGCCTGGTGGCAAAGGCTGGGCAGTAGATCATGGAGGCCTGGGCTGCAGGGAGGGAGAAAAACCTTTCCTATTCAGTGGCAAGGGATCGGTGCCTTGAGGCAGCAGCCAGGCAAGGCTGCCCAGAGGGGGTCTGAGATGGATCTGCAGTTTGCCCAAGAACCCTCTGCTGCCTTCCTCCCTGCCTCAGCTGCATCATGCTGACCTTTTTCCCTCTCCGGGAAAAACAGAGATGGAGTATAAATAAGGATATCCTTGGATTTTTCAGGCCAGGGAATTTTGCAGGAAGGGCTGAGCTCTGCTGGGCAAGAGACAATGAATCACAGGCACTCAAAACAGGACACCTCAGAGGAAGAGTTAGTAAAACACCCCAGGCTCTCATTGCTCCAGCCTTTTGTTGCCTGATGACTTCACTTCCCCGTCTGGCTCAAGCATGGGGAAAGCCCGATGACAGCATGT